GAGGCAGGGTGGGAAACTTGGCCAGTGGAAGAGGCTGGGCACTCGGGCGGTCTTGGCTGAGGGTCAGCTGACCTCGGGGAAACCCTGAAACCAGGTGGCTCCTCTGACTGGTGCAGAGTTGGGGTGAGGGGGCTGGGACTCTATGCTCTATAGTGGTTTGTCATTGGATGGGGACAGGGTATGGCCTTGGATGAAGCACTCTTTTCAGATGGCTTCCAAAGGCCAGCTGTGGGGGACTGAGCTCTCTCAACCACAGAGGGAAGGTCCTTGATCTCTGAGGGGGATCTGGACAGCTCTATGGGAGCCCCTTGGGGAACAGAGTTGGCTGTGGCCTGGGTATCCTTTGTCCTGTTCTTGCTTGTGGTCAGCATATTTGTTTGGACACATGGGTAAATAGACTCCCTTGGGAGGGGGACATGAGGGGTCTGAAGGATTGTTCCCTGTGCCTCCAGGTTGTGTGCATGGCCACGTACCACACAGCCTCCCCCCCCCCCCCCCCACCAGCTGCATGGTGAACCTTTACTGGCAGTAAACAGTTGATAAAGGTGTTTCCCATCAGGCCTTGTGTGCGTTGACAGGACCCGTTCCCATTTACAGAGCACCGCCATGTCCCTGGACTTCATCTCCATTATATCAAATTATCACAGCAAACTAATGACAGGTTTATTTCCCTCATTTATGAAGTGGGATGGGGGTGGTGAGACTCAGAGAAAGCACATTAATGTAGAGATTCGTGGGTATAAGTAGAAAGTTGGGGTCGAGGATCATCCTTAGAATCTACCCTTTAGAAAGCCCAGCCCTGCCCGCGGGAACCATTGCTCTCACCCGCAGCTTGCTCCAGGCAGGTCACCCTGCTCAGTCCGTCAGTCCCAAGCCCCCCTTCCAGGTCTGCGTGACCCTGGGCTTGGTTCCTTCTCCCTGTGTGTGCTGTGTTGCAGGTCTGCTCAGCCCCAGGTCTGTGGGCGGCCAGGGGCGCATGGGCTGCAGGGGCTAGAGACAGAGTTTAGATACAGGGGTCCGAGAGTCCATGCTTACATGCTAAACGAGGTGGGAAAGCGGAGGGCAATCCAGTGGAGTTCCCTCGGGACCACCAGATTCTGACCAAGAGCTGAAAATTTCAAACTTGAACTTTGTAATAGGACCAGGACCATGGCAAAGACCACTTTGTCAAAGTAAGAAGATGCCACACGCTTCGGTTAGCAGTGGTGGCTTGATTTATCATTTTGAACTTGTCACAAAAAGGACGACGGACCTCCCTGTGCTGTTGGCTCAGTCCTGAAAGCGTCGGGCCAGCGTGTGGCAGGCAGCCCTGCTGCTGACGGACGCCGTGCCTCCCTGGCACTCTGTACACCACGCCCCGGGGGTACTGGAGGACAGGGACAAACCTAGCTCCCCTGAGAGTTGACAAAGATTTCCTGGGGCTCTGGGGAAAACCAGTCAGTGACAGCCTGCAGCTGAGCTGCAGCATCAAGGGGACAACTTTGTGGACCTTCACTCCTGGGATCCACCTGGGTGTGGCCAGAATCGACAGTTTGAGGAACCCTGTTGTCCACAGACTGACCTCAGGGCACCCACCTCTCCTTCTTGAGCTCCTCCCTGACACACTTCTCCACCTCCCCCCGGCTCCCCTCAGACCCCGGCCACCCCATTCCTTGCTGAGCCCCTCCTACCCCTCCCCTTTCCAGAGGATCTCCTTACCTGCCTGGTGAGCACTTAGCACTCTGAGTAACCACTGGGCTTCCCTCCTGAGGGCTTGGCATTGCACAGAGGGTCCAGGATTCTTGTGTGGCCAGCAGGGTTCCTCTCTAACGGTTCAGTGTCAGTGAGTTGCACTCATGAGACAATCTTTTTTTTTTTTTTAAACTAAGTTTGTTCGAAGGCCCCTGGCTGGAAGTTCTTTCGCCACAAATATTTCTTTTTCTTTATGAGGCTGTGTGAGCGCGTCGGTGTGCAGGAGTCTGGGTGTGTACTGCTGCAGGAGTGTGCACAGGCATGCATTTGTGCTTGTGCGTGTCACGTGCTCCCAGTTGCTGAGCCCCTTACGCGGTAGGCCCAGCTCAGCCCCTGTCAGCCCAGCACTGTCACACAGCAGAGCATGCCGGATCCAAGCAGGACGCTGGGCTCATGGCCCCTGAGACTCTGCGTGAGACGTAGCAGGGCCACAAGAATGTGGCAGTTATGGGCTTTGCAGGGCAGTGACGTCTAGGGGCTTCGTAATAAGCCTCAGGTTCCAAGGAGCCACTCCAGGGTCCTTTAGGAACAGGCGGCCTCGGCTGACCTCTTTGCCATTTCTGACTCTTGAGCCCTGCCCCGGTTCCCCTCCACAGGGGGCTTGAGCCAGCGAGCTGGCCGCATCCTCTTTCAGAAAAAGGGCCTGGCAATGAGACAGCTTTCTGCTTTTTATTTGTGCACAACCATTTCACCATTCCTTGACAGCCCCGCGGGCTCCTGCAGACCCTGGGGCGACCCCCTTCCTCTGCTGGGACTCAGCCAGCAGGAGAGGAGGTAGATGTCAAGTGGGGCCAGTTACTGCTGGCTGGCAGTGCCACCCAGAGGTTTCGAGAGCACGGGCTGAAGGACGCCTGGTTGGTGGCCGATGGTGCTCTCCCCCTTTGCTGGCCCTGTAGGAGGAACCTGGGAGTCGCTAACAGCAGAGGGCAGCGCCAGGACCTGAACCACAAGGCCCAGCTTTGTCCTCCTTCCCGCTCCCTTGGCCCTGGCTTCAGTCTTCAGGCTCCTGAACCACTTAAGTTTTTATTTCCCACTCTGCTCCAGCTCTGCTTCCTGCTCCTGGTGTCCAAGAGGAGCAGCGGGTGGCCCCAAGGCACAGGGGAACTCAGACAGAGCAGGTTGGAAAGCACGCTGCAAACTACAAGTTAGGATGAGCAACTGGACTTTTCCAAGTCTCAGTTTTCCCACGTGCAAAATGGAATTGGTGGCAATTATCTCTCAGGGGTGGTTTTAAATGGATATGTCCATGAAATCCTGCATGTGGCTTGGTATACAATAGGTGCTCCATAATTGATACTTGTTACTTTCACCACCCCCACTGCCTACCCTCACCACCTCCACCACCACCACCTCCACCACTGTTAGCCAGGTGCACAGGAGTGGGTTTGAGTGCCAGACCAGCCTTCTCTGTGTGGGAGGGGGTGGGGGGCAGGGAGTAAGTGGAAGAAATGAGAATTTCCCCCAGAATTTCAAAGAACTCCAACCTGGAGCAGGGACTGGAGCATGAACCAGCCTAAAACCAAGAGACTAGGTGGCTCCACTGGTCCCAAACCCCCAGAGCATCTCCTTCTCCCACATCCTATCCACACTCGTGTCCTTCATCTAAGATGGAATGTTCTGGAATTTTCAGGGTATGTGGGGAACAGCTCTGGAACTTGGGGAGCCAGGAAGGTTCAGGCCCGGATCCTGGATGCATTTAGCAGTTGGATGACCTTGGTGAAGTCAGTTCTCTAAGCCTCAGCTTCCGGGGGCACCAGAGCTGTTTCCTCAGAAGGTTCTGGATGGTGTAAATGGGATCTTAAGACACCCAATGCCTGGCCCTGCTGGATACATACATAGGAGGCGTTCATTTCCTATAGTCCTCCCTGTCCCCGCCTGCAGGCCCCTCTCCTTCTCGGAAGGGCCGGTCAGGCAGCATTCAGGCTGACACGACACCCTTCACTGGAGGGCCCTGGGCTTCCTGAAGAAGCCGAGGCCCTGGGTGAGTTTGCCTCTGGTCACCTTAGTTCTTTCCAAGCTTAGAGCCTCAGTTTCCCTCTCTGCAAAGTGGGGATAGTAACACTCTTTCTTTGTAGAGTCATTGTGACATTGTGTGGCAAGTGCCTGGAACTCAGTAGGGGCTCAGGAGGCGTGAGCTGCTGACATCTGATGTTAGAACTTCATGTAACTGTCTTTAATTATCTCCCAGTTTCCCCACTTTCAGGGTGTGGGCAGGTCAGAGTATTTGGTTTCCAAGGTTACGGCATTTCAGCCAAAATAAATGGCAAGACGGGTTTGGATCTGGCCTGGCCTCTGGCTGCAGCAGGATAAGGAGCTGGCATATGGCTTGGGGCACACTTGGCAGCCCCGGCTGATGTGGCATGCATCCTAGTGAGTCACCTCCCAATGCCAGAGCCCACAAAGCTCACTCCAGGCTACTAGGGCACACTGAGCATTGGCTCTGGAACTCAGATGTGTCCAACTTCACCAGGGACTAGCTGTAGTTACTGCCTGTTGCCTAGGACACCCCTGGAGTTTCTGCTGGGCTCTGGGTGGGCATCTTTCCTGGCTAGAGATTGGGCTCTCTGGCCCCGTTGCCCTGGGCTTTGCCTTTAGCCACCTTAACAGGTGAGCCCAGAGGATTGGATGACCTAAATACAAGTCCTGCTTCTGTCACTCACCCGCAGTGCCAACAGGAACAGTCAACTGCTTTCTCTGTCCCTCAGGGCTTAAAATGAGACTGCCTGCACATTGGGTCTACAGGCTGTTGTAAGCATTGGGAAAAATCCAATGAGCTAGTGTTTGGGAAAGCTACGTGCAACCTAAAAATGATATTCACAGGAGAAAAGTCAGAAACCCAGTTGGATGTACCTTTAGGCACTGTCTTTCCCTCTCTGGTCTCAATTTGCTTACCTGTAAGAGCTGGGCGTTCCCGGAATGATGTTCCATAAAGGAAAGATTCTCTGCTTAAGCAAATTTGATGAAAGCTACACCTAGGATTCTCCTTGTGGTGTTTCATAGCAGAGGCTAGGAGAAACCTGCAGACTTTACCAATTCAACTAGAGTCCCTCATTATTGCAGTTAGGACTCCTACTATTATTATTCCTGGTCCTGTTTGTTGTTATTCACTTCTTGGCATGACTCTCTTTACCTGCCGCACAATGCTCCTTGTGAAATGGCCAGGCGATGGAGCAGCTGATGAGGGACCCTGGCAGCGCTTGCAGACACTGATCCAAGCCCCGTGAGGGGCAGGGATCTAGTGGGTCACACTCTGCCTCTGTGTCCCCCAGGTGCCTTCCTGATTCCATACACCCTGTTCCTCATCATTGCCGGGATGCCCCTGTTCTACATGGAGCTGGCTCTCGGGCAGTACAACCGGGAAGGGGCGGCCACCGTCTGGAAGATCTGTCCTTTCTTCAAAGGTAAAGAAGGAGTCTGGGGGAAGTCAAAGTGCATTTGGGGAAATGCACTCCAAAGATGAGATCTGAGATAAAGCAACTATCTGTGGGATTCATGGGCATCAACAAGGTCAGGAGCGTCCACCATTCAAAGTTACACAGGGAGCATTTGACATGTCAGGAAAAGGAGCTGGCAACCCAAGTTTCAGAGTCTGGAGACCCAAGTTTCAGTCTAGCTCCATCAGCTGAGTGGCCAGAGAGAGTCTATTGTCATGAAAGACAGAAATGCCAGAAACCCAGCACATACACCTCTGCTGCTCCCCTCTGCTTCCGTGGCAGACATGACAAATTGATTGTGGAGCTTCTCAAACTCAGCTGGAAAGCTACCTCACAATCCTTAATGCAACAGCCATAGCTAATTGATTGCAGATGGGATAGGATTGAGCCTATTTGCATTTGGGACTTAGTGCACATCTGCAGAAAGTAGCCATGACAACCATCATCCCTTGGCCTCCAGATATCTGGCAGAAGGGTGTGGGGCCAGAGTTAATATTGCCCAAGCGCTGGTTAGAGAATCGGTAGCAATAAGGACAAATGTGACTACCATGAGCCTCTTCTCAGCTGGCAAGTGTCTCCGGAGTACCTTATGTTTACTCAATCCTGTAGTAAATCCAGACTGATACAAGAGTCTTGCGTGGGATTAGCATCATTTTTGTTTACTTGCTGGAAATATGACTCAAACTGGCTTTAATATAACAGAGATTTTTTTTTTTTTTTTTTTTTTTTTTTTTTTTTTTTGCTGGGGGAGTGCTAATCTACCCAGGTACAGTTTGATCTGGGTACTCAAATTGTACTCTTAGAATACGTGTTCGCATCATTCTCTGGTACATTTTTCTCAGTTGCTAAAAAAAAGATGGCTGCCAGCAACTCCAGGCTTAAATCCTGCCGAGTTTAACAGTGACCAGAAGCAAATAAGCAAAGGAATAAGCTAACAAAACACCTTTATGCATCCATGCCTTCATTAAAGTTCTTAGTGAAGACTTTCATTGGTTTGATTTGAGCCATATGCCTATCTCTTAACCAATCATCGTGGTGATGAGAAAGCAACACTCTGATTGGCCAGGTCTTCACACGCTCATGAACAGATCAAGGAAGTGAGGGATTACTTTTACCCAAGCCTCACAGGCTGAGTTACTTAAGGAGATCCCTTAAAGCAGTGCTGGGCAGGCCAAAATAATTTCTGCTCTAGGCAAAACTCTAGAATTAGTGTTAGAGGTGCGCTGGACACATTCAGGAAGATCACGTGTGGGCACGTGAAGCAGGTGGTTGAGAATGACCCAGAGAACTCATGGGCTGAGTGCTTGCTTGAGATCCCCCCAGAAGCAGATTCGGAGGTAGGGATTTTAGTGTAAGTACTTATTTGGGGAGGTGGTCCCAGGAAGTGCCAGATGACGTCAGGAAAGGGGGGGGGCAGCCCATGCAGTGTGTGTCATCAGGTCAAGTGCACCATGGGTGAGTGGAGAGGCTGTGAAACACACCTCTTCGTTATCGGGTCCACGGGGCGAGGGAGTGGGGGAACTTATTTATATTCCAGCTTCCAACGTGGCTGCTCCCTGGGGCCATCAAGGGCCTTCTGACCCATCAATAAACAGGCAGAGAGGGCTCCCATGGTGAGGGAGAGCTCCCAGGCAAAGGGGTGGTCGGTACCCAAGGCATGTGGGCGGGACTGGCAATCTGCTACAGAACAATGTAGGGGTTGAGGACTGCGGTGTTTGGTGCCAGATCCTCAGGGGGAGGTGGCTCTGGGCCTGGGCTGGGGTCTTGAGCTCTGTGTACCCACCCAGGAGTCGGCTATGCTGTGATCCTCATTGCCCTCTACGTTGGCTTCTACTACAACGTCATCATCGCCTGGTCGCTCTACTACCTCTTCGCCTCCTTCACCTTCACCCTGCCCTGGACCAACTGCGGCCATGCCTGGAACAGCGCCAACTGCACGGACCCCAAGCTCCTCAATGGCTCCGTGCTGGGCAACCACACCAAGTACTCCAAGTACAAGTTCACGCCAGCAGCAGAGTTTTATGAGTAAGTCGTGGGCGCCTCGTCCTGGGCTGACTGAGGCCTGGGCAGGATCTCAACCAGACTCCAAGGAAAACCTTAGGTGGAGAGGGACAGGGCACGCCCATCAGTATGGACCATGTGACAGGCCTGAGGCTGAGGGGGAAGCAGAGGATGCAGCCCTGTCGGCGGCTTCCTGGGGGGCTTTTGATGTGGGCAGGAGAGTGGAGTACCAGGAAACACACGAGGACCCCAGGAGGTGTTAGTTCTCTAGGAAATAACCTTCAGTTTGGAGAGACGAATCGCCCTTAAGAAACCACAGCCAGTTGTGAATGAGGAAATAGGCACAAACAGGAAGGGTCTTGACCAAGGTCATCCAGCTTGAAAGTGGCATTGGAAAGCGAGTTTGAACACAGGCAGTTGGGTCCCAAGGCCTAAGCTCTGAGCTCAGTGGTTCTAAACTTCAGCTGCATGTGAAAATCACCCAGAGAGCTTTCAAACACGCTGCTGCTGGATCCTGTGTCCAGGGACGTGAGTTTCACAGGCGTGGGGGGCCGCCCACACAAGTGCATTGTTATTAACAGCTACTTCCGGGATTCTATTACCTAGCCACTGCACCCACCTGTCTGAGAACAAGACACCTGCGGAGGTCAGACGGACATCTCTACATGTCATGGAAAAACTAGGGTTTCTTCACTTTTCCCCAGGACTGTAACCTCAGAAGACCCCAGAGTGTTTGGAGAGCTTGCTTGCTGGTGGAAGTCTTGGGTCTTCCCAGATTGAGTGTGGTCTGGACAGGAGACAGTAAGGGCTGGGGGGCAAGGGGGTTTCTGATCCCTGTAAGTGGTTGCGAGCTTCTCCCACCTTGTTTTCTCAGGCAGAAAAAAGCAGGATCTTTCTTTAGCTCTTGGCAAACCCTGTTCTTATGAATCACGGTGGAAACTGATAGCCTGGTCATCTCTAGTCTGGTTGGTATCAGATTTCTCCACAGGTGTCTTTAGGATCAGCTTGTCTGCCCCTGCAGTGGCAGGTCCCCTGCGACAGGTCTGGGGACCATGGTTCCTTTCATGCAGCCACCCACTTCCTCCAGGCCTAGCTGTGAGCAGAACACAGTGGAAGGTGACATTCCTGTGTGCAGGGCTTGGAGGGTGTAGTGAAAGAGGGGTGCAGACCACCCCTCTTCTCCTCTCCTTAGCCCACCCCACTGCAAACCTTCATAGCTACCCTGAACCAGGGACTGACAATCTCTTCATATCCAAATCCCACTTCATCTGCACGGTTCACAGTGGCGGAAATCACCCTGCTTCACAGACTAGAAAGCAGAGGCTCTGTTTTAGGTTCCTGGCAGCGTTATCTGAGTGCCAGCTCTCTGATCCAAGGCGCCACCCCGTCCACAGCTCTCTGGGCTTTCTCCTCCCCAGTTATAGTCTCCAATTAGTTCGTGTCCAGTTAGGCTCCCTGCTGATAGGTGGGACTCCTTCTTGGGCACGTCTATCTCCCCTCTTCCCTGCCTACGGGCTGCAGAGAGCACAGCTCTAGGCTGTGGACTGCTTCTGGATTTTCCATGGCACATGAACTTTCTGTCCAAAGGCCTCTGCTTTAAGACAAGTCAGCTCAGTCGGGGCAGCCAGCAAGTGGGGCTCCCAGGACCGATACTAAGAGATTAGATAAATTTTTCTCTTTCCCCAAGACTCCTGGCCAATGTTGCCCCCACCTTGTACTCTGTCAGGCAGATGGATTGAACCTGTCATTTAAGGGAACAAAAGTGCTCCTCTCCCCAGGCTCCAGGCCTGAAGCCACATGGCCCCACGGCAAAAGAACCTCTGAAGCTGTCCCTTTACCTTTAATGTGCACCCTTGGTGGATATGTGTTTGGCAATAGGAAAGTTCTACCCCGCACTGGCTCCTAGGGGGAAGAGGAGCCTCTCTCTACCCCAGTCCTAACCCTCTGAACTTTTAAATGTCAAGTGAAAAATTGAGCTTTTTTGGCCCATAGACTTTGGAAAGCCTGGACTGTACCCCTCACGATGATTCACTTTTATTAAACTGCTGGAAAACTAAACCAAACCCAAGGATTTTTTTGCAACCCCCCTCCACCCCACGCCCCCAGCTCAGGCCTGCAGAGGAAGCCGGATTCACTTCTTTTCTTGGAAATCAGCTCTGGTGTCCGGCTCTTTTTACTGATGAAACCGTGACCACCCCAAAGTGGCCTTCAAGTGCACGTAAGGCTCATTTTGGCTATTCCAGTGGACACTAGGAGGCATTTTAGCAAGTTTAGGGGCAAACAGATGCAGGCCGTTGCTTTTTTCATGATTTTAACAATAAATCAGGGAAATGGTGATTGACACCGTTCAACACTTTGCCCCCGAAAGCACAGGAAGAAGCCGAATGAAGCATCAGGCAGGGTCAGGACGCTGTCTTTGGATAGGCCCAGCTACTCGATTTTCCTCTTCCCTCTTCTCTCTCTTTCTCGTTCTCTCTCTCAATGGGAGAAGAGCCTATGTCAGGGGATCCTTCCTTCCTTCCTTCCTTCCTTCCTTCCTTCCTTCCTTCCTTCCTTCCTTCCTTCCTTCCTTCCTTTCTTCCTTTTCTGAGATGAAACTAGCAGAATTAGTTTTGCCAGGCTGATAAATCGGGCTGGAAAGTGTGTCCTAGGATTCAGGAACAGGAAGTCCCCAGGCCAGAGCCCTGAGAGCAGAGGAGATTGTGGAGAAGTGGCCTGCTATTGTCAGGAGCAAATGGCAGGGATGAGCTTGGTGGGGTGAATTGCGACAGGCCTCAGATTCTGCAAGGCGTACATTTGCATCCTCCAGGCTAGGATTGCACTTGACAGCCTCAACACTGGACATTTTGGGTTAGAGGAGTCTTTCTTGGGAGGTGGGGGTTGGAGGGGGTGCCGTCCTGTGCATTCTGAGTGTTTAGCAGCTTCCCTGATCTCTACCCACTAGTTAAAGGACCTTTGAGGATCTGGGGCCAGGATGGGAGCCAGGTCTGTCTGACCCCAAAGCCTGGATAACTTCTGTATGATAGTCTTCTATTTTCCTTCAAGTTCTTGCAAATATTAGATGTCTGTTTGAATGAATGAATGAATGAATGAATGAATGAATGAAGCAAGCAAGCACTTTAATTCCCACCCGAGGATAAGCTGGATGGGTCTCCAGGCGGAGGGTATGTGTGGTCCTTCATGGGCCTGGAATGGACCCTCCCATGTCCTCTACTCCGATTCCAGCAAAAACCATCATCCGCCTCTCGTCTGTGGACTCCTCTGACCACCCAGGCTCCTGAAATAGTTACACGCCTATTTCTTAAGAGCCTTTCTGAGCCTTCTTTTCCTCAGATTTAGAAATCCAGCTTTATTTTGCCAGGAAAGTGAAAGTTTCTGGGAGGCTCAAGTTGGCCTAAAAGAAGCCTATAACTTGGGTGGGCCTCTGACTCAGTGGGTCCGAGATTTGGCTGCCAGTTGGCATCGGCAGGGGTGGCACTGGTGGCCTGGTTCTGTTGCTCAAGGATTATGAATTAACTGGTTGAGAACAGGGCCCAGAGAGTAATATTTTTATGACGTAAAAGATTTAAATTTTTTAAAATTTTGATATCAGCTATTTTTTTAAAAAAAGGTGGGCCTTCAAGGATTCGGTCAAGGGTAGAGTGCAAATATTTGAAAAAAAAATACATCTGTACTGAGCATGTACAGTTCCTTGTCATTTTCCCCTAAATGAACCAGTATAGTAGTTATATGCATGACATTTACTTTTGATTAACCAAGTATAACAGCTACAAATATACAGCCTTTATTTGTATTAGGTATTATAAGGAAGCTGGAGATTACTAGAAATATACATAGGTATGAGTGTAGGGTATATGCAAAGATGGTATCATGTTATGTAAGAGACCTGAGCACTCATGGATTTTGATATCCACAGGTACCAAGGGACAACTCTATGAGCCTTCATGTTGCAGGGGCACACTGCTGGCAAATGAGCCAAGAAACACGGAAACTGAAAGGATTAGAGACCAGGGGAAATCAGGGAGCCCTCCAGGAGGAGGTGACATTGGAGCTGGGCCTGGCTAGGTATCCAGCAGTAGGCTATAGCTTCTGAGCATCAGATTCAGAGGAAGATGGGGCAGAGACCCATTCTGGGGCCCCGGCAGCTCCCTGAACCCTCCCAACAATTGCCACACTCTATTGCTGTCTTTTGCAGTTAATGCTACCTCTCATGTTAGAACAGAAGCACAGCAAGGCGGGGACTGTGTGCCAGCAGTTCCGTGAGTGTGCGTGAGGCCCAGATGGGCCAGGTAACCACAGGCTGGAAGTGAGGGATGCGTGATTGGGGTGCAGAGCCAAGATGCCACACCCAGGTGTTCCCAGGCCTGCTGCTGTGTCTTGTGAAGGTGTAGAATTCCTCTGTGGAGCCTGCTGTACTGGATTATCAGTTGGCTTATTTGACCTTGATCCCAGTGGATTTTGATTTGATTCTAATTAACAAATGGACATCTTGTTCCCAATTCTATTTACCATTCCTTCCCTGTATGAGGTGCCTCAGTATTCTCAAGCCTTCTAAATGTTTATGGTATATTTTCCTTACCTAAGAAACATGTTATTGTAGGTGACCGTATTACAGAGAAGTGACAGCTTAATGAATATCACAAACTGAATGCATCCATGTGACCACTACCTAGATCAGGAGTCAGAGCATGACAAGTCTCCTAGAAATTCCTAGGAGTCCCTCCCAGTTAGTAACCTTCTCTCCCATTCCAGAGCATACCTTTTCTGACTTCTAACCCCTAGGTGAATTTTGCTTGTTATTGTACAGTGCTTAATTTGAATGGAATTGGACTTCTGTCTCTTCCGTGTCCTTTTGACTTTGACTACATTTTCATAGCATTCGTTATGTGTGAGAGTTTCACCCATTTGGGGGTAGATGCTGTATAATGATTCATTTTAGTTAATGTGACATAATTTATCCATTCTATTGTTAATGGGTATTTGAGTATTTTGCAATTCGGGGATATTATGCTCAAGGCTGTGATGAACTTTCTAGAACATATCTTTTGGTAAACATGTACAAATTCTATTGGATAAATACCTACAAGTAGACTTGCTAGGACACAGAGTATGCGTATCTTTGATTTTAGCAGATATTCTTAGGAGACTTGTTTATTCCTGTCTTAGTCTCTAGACAAGAGCTTCTCAGTTCAGCAAAATGAGCATTTTGGATGGGATAATTCTTTGTTATTGGAGACCGTCCTGGGCATTTAGGATGTCTAGCAGCTCTGTGGTCCAGGTCCCCTGGAGTCATGTCAATTGAAATCACCTTGGACATCGTCAAACATGCTCTGGGGTGCAAGATAGGCTCTTCCTCCTCTAGAGACCTGCTGCTGCAGAGGGTGAGCTCTAGAAAGCAGAGACCTTCCCTGTCTTATCACTGTGTCCCCAGTGCCAGCCATGCAGCAGGCACTTTGGAGAGCCATCCTGGGTGCAGGCCATGGCTGACCAGAACCAGTCCATGTGATGCATGCAGCGGCCAGTGCCCCCGAGTCAGGGAGAGTGGCTGACCCCTGTCTCCATCAGGGTGCATGTGGGACAGGCCCGTGAGCATGGCCTTGGACATGCTCCTTGACGCTGTTTTCCCTGCCCCCACCTCTCCTCCCCACAGGCGTGGTGTCCTGCATCTCCATGAGAGCAGCGGGATTCACGACATCGGCCTGCCCCAGTGGCAGCTCCTCCTCTGTCTCATGTTCGTTGTCGTCATCCTGTATTTTAGCCTCTGGAAAGGTGTGAAGACATCAGGAAAGGTAATGTCTCGGTTTTTCTTTCAGTTGGGAGCTTGGCCTTGGGGGAAAAATATTTCTGGTTATAACCATGTGGTTGATGAAAAGACAAGGGAGCTCAAAGAATATGGAGCCTCGTTCAGCCCTCAGCTCTGCATTGACACGGATGAATCCCTTCCTTCCCTGAGCCTGAGTCACCCCAACAGCAGGGTGAAGGGGTGCAAGTAGATCTGGGGTCTTCATACTTTTCAGCCAAAATTCCCCTAATAGCAGAGACCAGGTACTGGGACACCCCTAAAGACTTGAGGATCAAACCCAAAACAACTCTTGACCCATCTCTACCTTGATAGATCTTGAATTTTGACCTAAAGCTTCATGCAAATGTTGCATAGCACATAATTATTTGGAATGTCATGGAACATAATCATTTGCCTTACTATAAAATTAGTAAATCTCCACCCTTCTGAATTTTTGAGTAAAAGAGAATGCCCCAGAAGATATCCAGCTGTATGCATAGGCTTGTGTTTCCTCTGAAACAGTGCTGAGGGCCCCCAGGGGTCTGGGTGCTTTGGAAAGAAGCACACAGGGTAAGATGGTCATGGAGGTCCAGCCGAGATGGGGCATTCTCAGCTTGGGTGACACTGCCCTCTATAGTCAGCCTCTAAAGGTGGAGTATACTCAGGGAATGGCCTGCACTGATTTGTTAGCCTGTGGAATATCATGGGGACACCAATCCCCATGGGTTCTAGAACTTGAGTGTATGAAAAAGAATGAAGCTGGGGAATGTCTTTCCAGTGTTTTTCTTAGCAATTGGTGTGTAATGAACCACCCTGAAATGTGGTGATTTTAAATATTTAACTCTCATGATTCTGGGAGTTGACTGAGCTCAGCGGGGTGGTTCTTCTGCTCCTCTATGTTGCTTGGGTACCTCGCAGCATGGTGACTGTGTTTCCAGATCACGGTTCCAAGCAGACAAGACCTGATGTGCAATAGTTCTCCCAGTCTCTCTTGCATGATGCTAGCTGTTGTCCAATGGCCAAAGCGACTCTTGTGATGAAGACTGGAGTTCATGTGGGAGGGGATGACACACAGATGGGAGTTCACTGGAGGGGTAGGGGAATCACAAGGCAAGTCTGCCGAAATCAGATAGGGATGAATTTGGAAGAAGCTTCATTCAGTGACTGTTTTGGAAAGCAGGATGCATCAGGATTCTGTCTGGTACTTTGAAATTTTTATTATGCCTTTGAGAGCAAGGACAGGGACAGGGGACCAACAGCCACTGGGAATGTAATCTGTTAACAACTGGAGGTGGAATTTCCTATCAGTACATTGGGGATACAGGATTTTTTCCTAAGGAAGGACTAAAATGAGATGCAGATCAGGATTGGAAGGAATTCTGGAGTGTAGAGCAAAATCAGTCTAGGACTACCACCATCCCAAAAACTGTCACAGAGTAGGTCTTGAGTAAATATCTGTTAAAGGACTGAAGAATGGGGGGGGTAAATAAGTCTTTAATACTTTATTGAGGATTCTTTTGAATTCAGTTCAACTCATCAAACTTAGTAAACTTTTTAACTTATTGTGGACACCTACTGTGTGCTAGGCTTGATGTTAGTACCGATGATGCAAGAATAAGTAAGACAAATGTTTTCTTCAATTTCTTTTAGTCTATATTCATTATGGATGGGTTGTGGGTCAGCCAATGTCACAGTGTCTCGGGACTCTATCCAGAGCTATATATGGGTGTCTCCCTTTACACTAATATTAACGGTTACAGTCTACACATGGTATTATAAATTTTGCTTATTTATATATTTATTTATTTTGTGGTGCTGGGGTTGGAACCCAGGGCCTTGTGTGTGCCAGGCCAGCGCTCTACCACTAAGTCACATCCCAGCATTTCTTGCTTTATATTTTAAAGTTAATTTTACCTTGGAGATAATTTCCCATTATGTGGTCAGGTTATACCTTAATAGAAGTACAAACAGCGGGTTTTTAAGCTGTCATTAGATCAACCTTGTGGGTTGCCACAAGTTGTTAAAATGATATAGGCTAGATCATCAGAGGGCCTTGCATATAGAAGAGATGAGCTGTCTCGAGCCATTCAGTTTCAGTTAAGGCAGCCTATATGTTTATGTGTAGTTGAACTTGACATAGAAAGTATTCCTTACCAAAGGCCACGGTCAAAAAGCCTGAGATGCTGCATGAGTAGAGGAAGGGAGATCTTTGGATTGAGGGAGTCTACAAAGACTGTGGAGAAGGGGGCATTTGTGCTGGGTCTGTGAGGACAGGCATGGGTAGGAATGAGGAGGAAGGAAGAGGTTCTCTACGAAAGGATCCACATGAACAAAGCCACAGAGGTGTGGAAGGACCAGCCCAGGCTGAGTTAGTGCTTTCTGTAACTCTCTAGCTACCAGGAGCAGGACTCTCCTGGCCCCTGCAGAGGCCCACAGGGGAGTCACACTCTATCCCTGTGAACGGCAGGGATGCTGGCCCACGTGTGGGTTCCCCACAGGCTTTTAATACCGAAAGCCAAGATTAAGTTCCCCATAGCCCCTGCCCAAGGGGTGCAGCCTGCACCATTTAGCTTGGAACTTGGCCAGAGCAGAGCACAAGCTGCCTACAGCCAGCCAACTGGATGCTACAGAGAGGCCAGGAGGAGCATGCTCAGTTTCTCTTGCCAAGTGCACTTTCAGAGGCGAGGAGGAGGAGTGTCATGAAGGGCGGGACGGTGGTGTCACCGTCATGTGGAAACAGGAGGAAGTCCCCCATGTGGAAACAGGAGGAGCGAGGAATATGAGGCCCCCCCTTGCTGAAGCCACAGCCCACACTCTGCGCAAGTTCCCCAGGGTTCTGGCACTTGAGCAGGCAGAGGCCCCAAGCAGTCCGTGGGGAAGATTTTTAGAACAAGGAGTTTTGCTTAGGACATTCCTGTGCCCTGTTTTTAATAGTTTTTGTAAAGTGGCTCAGGAGGAGACCAAGAATGTTGCTTATCTCTTCCCGGACGATGTCTGGAACAGCACACAGCTTTCCTTAGCAGCCTTCCATGGCTGCAGAGCCTGCCTGCGGTGAATCTTGAATGCACACACTTCCCATCTGGGCAAGTGGAGGCTGGGATTCAGAAGATGCTGACTCCTGGGCCCCGGGGATGGTGGGAGCAGGTCTGAATGGGACAGGGGTTATCCCAGGCCACACACCCGATGACAACTGGGTTGGCCCATCCGGCACCTCAGGGTGGAAGGTGAGGCCTGAGCAGTGCTTGCCATGCTGGAGCCCGGTCCACTTTCTGGATCTCCCGCCCTGTCTACTCTGGGAACATATTGGACTCAGACCTCAGGCTCCCCTTCCCTGGAGAGAAACCAAGACATCGGAGTTGGCTGGGATCAGCGTCACTCACCCACTTCACTGCCAGCCTTTGGGCTGTTGGGGGGGTGGCCCTAGATGGAGTACCTCCTGAATTCGATCAGGGATGGTGCTACTGGGAAGAGAGAAAGCCAGATCAATTCAAAGGAAACCTGAGCTCTAGAATATTTAAATTAAAATATAGCCCTGTGACTTTCATATTCAAGTCGTAATTCTAGCCAAGCCTTCCCACTACTGTCTCAATTCAGGCTGGTCCTGGCTTGCCTCGGTAACTTGTTTGGACCCAGTTGTGATGAACAGCATCACTTGCATAGGAGCCACACATATACCAAAATACGTGTAGCTCAGTGTTTTCTTGAGTAACATCGGTGCATAGCGCACACCCCATAAGTCTTTTTTTAAAACAACTGTGCCTTCATTATTAATGAAAATGTCTCTGAGACTCAGTTCAGAGGACCACAAATTCTAAGTCAGTAAAGGTTAAATTAATGCAGTGTGGACATTTATGTTCTCTAGGCCTTAGAGCAGGTCAGGAGCTTCTCCAACATGAGCGTATGTGAGGATTACTTGGGGAGCTTGTTAAAACTCCAATTCCTTGTCCTTTCCTGAGAGTCTGGGAACTCTTGGAGATGCTGATGCTGTTCACCAACTTCACCCGAGTCTAGGCGATTCTTTCCCCAATGCCAGGATTTGTTGCAAGGCTTGTATACCTTCAAGTGAGGTATATCTACCTCACTGTTCTCCTGGGCAGCTCATTTCCATTAGAGAGCTCTATCATTCAAAAGTCCTTCCTTTCTTGGAACCAAGATCCTCCTCATTTTGATGATAAGCAATTGGTTTGGGTCGTACTAGTACCCCCAGAACTTCACAAATTATCTGCAGAAACATCAGGTGGGTAAGAAATTTCAGGTGATAGAAAAAAGTGACATTCCTTGGGGTCTAGGAACACACTTGCTAAGACCAATGGGCTGTTCGTTGTCTTATGCTCAAAGTAAAAATTTGCACTCAAAGTTAAACTTTTAACAGGAGTTTGGTTTCTCCTGGCCAGAGATGCATTCGAGTGGAATTCTGAGAGCAGAGAGGCCTGGGATGGAGACAGAACCCAAATGTCCCTCTGTTTGCCCAAGGTGCATACAGGGCTCCTGTGGGCAAGGGTGAGCTATGGCCTGAGGATCCAGGAGACTCACGTTTGACACAAGGTCTTAGGCAGCGGAACTCACATAAGCCATCAATTCTGAGAACCTTCGACAAGACTCGGATGGTTTAGTTTTGAAGATGTGTGCATGGGCAGAGTGAGCTCCCGTTCTCTGTGTTTGTTGTCACGGTCATCTCGGTCACGCTCTGACGTGTACCCATGTTGGAACCTCACACATGGCCAATGCAGGGCCACCTCCAGGCCCAAGGAGAGATCCTCTGGAGTAAAAATTGCAAGATTGATTTTTCTCTTTTGCTGGCAGTTGGGTGGTCACCTCTGACCTGCGGGGATGGGCAGGGCAGCTTGGGCTTCGGCTACTGACATGAATTGTAGGGGCCCGTAGTAGACAGGACCCCACAAAGGTATGGAGGAATGTCTGTGTTTGATGCTAAGGAGCCACTTGTCCTGGTTTGGGAGACCAAGTCCAGGGCCACTGAGTGGAGTGAGGCCACACAGAGATCGAACAGCTCCCTTTCCAGGCCATGTTTACCTCCCCAGTTGTCCAATCATTCATCCAATAAATGGTTTAAAGGACCCAGTCAAGCCAGGTGCTGGGCATAATTTTTTGAAACTTTTGTTTCTAAGGTGTGACAGTCCAGTGAGAAGGACAGACAAACATACAAAGGGAGGATACATTTCCGTCTTTAAGCGAAGGCATGGAAAACATAGGACTTTATTTTCTGTATCTTGAGTTTTGTTTTGAGCCCTGTCTTTCAAGGTGGACAAAGAACTTGACTCTCAGTCATGCACTGAGGGTTCCATTTTCTCCCAAGGGACGTGCAAAGACCCTGGGGCCTGCAGACTGCCAGAACTTTTGAGAGGAGGAACCACCTGGTCTTTAAGTTATGTGTGCTCTCCTGTTTCAGCTGAGTCCTCCTTGGGTCTGACCACCCTGGCCCTGGCTTGATTTTCTGTTCAGGGTACAGTATTGTCCGAAAAGGACGCCCACAGCTGCATTTGCCTATAGCAGGGATTTTTAACCTTGAAATTGATGTCACTTGGGGAGTTTTTGAAATACACCGAAGTTCAGTCTGGGTTCAGATATCACCTCAGACCAGTTAGATCAGAAACCCCGAGACTGAGAACTGTGTGTCAGCGTTCTTATCTAGAGCTTCCCAGGGACTATGACATGTGGCCACGGGCACCAAGGAACAGCCAAGAGGCCTGCGTAGCCCTCAGCGTCCACATTTTGTAATCTCTTCCTCCAAGTGGGCAGGAGGGTGAGGGGGCTCTTTTTAGTCTGAGGATGATCTCTTCCCCTTTGCGTTTCTGAAAAAAGACACTTTGTCCCAAATCTGCTCCAACTAATATGGAGAAGGGGCAGAGACTCTGCTTTCTGCCCAGCCACAGGCCTGCTTGGGCAGTGGGCTTCGGAGGGTGTGCTTAAGTGGGGGTAAAGGAAAAGAGGGAGAAGCAACAAATTTGGAGGAAAAGAATGGAGGAGAAGAAGAAGGAGGAGGAGGAGGAGGAGGAGGAGGGAGGTAAAAATGAAGATCTTTAAAACCCTGCCTGTAAGATGGGTCCAGAAAATACCTGTGGTCGGATGGATGCATGCAGGACTGGCAGGAGCAGTGGACACAAAAATGGGGATAAGCTTAGTTCTACCTGAGGCAACTCGAAGGGACCAGGAGAGGTGGCTTTGTGAGGGGGTGGCACCTGTGCTATGAGAGCCTGGTCTTTGCCCATGGCGACCTCAGCCTCCGTCTCGGCACTATGGAGATGGCCTCGCGGGTTCTGAGCTTCCCGGGGCGCGCCGGCTCTGTTCACTGTTCTGTCCCTGGAGTCTGGCTCGGGCCTGACCTGGAGGTGGAGCCTGGGCACGTGGGTTGGGTGAAGGGAGCTGGCGGGAGGGCCTGCCTGGCTCTCGGGAGAGGACCCTGTGTCCCTCCAGCACCCTCCCCTCAGCGGGAGGCCGGTGGAGGGGCTCACCGCTGCGCATCCGTTGCCAGGTGGTGTGGATCACGGCCACCCTGCCGTACTTTGTGCTGTTCGTGCTCCTGGTCCATGGCGTCACGCTGCCCGGCGCCTCCAACGGCATCAACGCCTACCTGCACATCGACTTCCACCGCCTAAAGGAGGCCACGGTCAGTGCCACCCAGACCTGGGCCAGGGCAGGGAGCGCTCTCAGGAGCAGACGGAGATGGGAGAAACTGGTCCCAGTTCTGCCACAAACTCGCTGTGCAGCTGTGGACAGGACCCCTCCGGCTCTGAGTGGCAGGTCCCCTGAGGGTCTGCCCGTCCCACTCTGATGGCCTGGGCTTCTGTGGTTCCCTTTAGTGGCCTTCATGGACCACACTTTGCAATGTGGGCCAGACCTTGTACGGGGACCAGGATGCCCTCGGTGCTTACTCCTGTCCTGGGCCCACGGCACCCTCGTCCACCCCATCGCCCCTTCCCTATTTCTCTAGTCCCCAGCCATGGCCTTGGCCACCATCCTGTCATGTCAGCAAAAAAGAGCAGCCTTAGCCCCCAGGGAGACCTGGACCTGCCACCTCTCTCCCCCAGCAGCTTCCTCCAGCTCACCATCCTGCCTAAAGCCCCAAGTTGCAATGAAGAAGGGGTGAATTTGGAAATGAAGTCCAGGGCAGTGGGTGAGGATGGGTGCAGAGACCATCTTGGAGGGACCGAGTGCCCTGAGTATCTTTAAATGACAGCGGAGACCACTTCCGGCCTCCTCCCGCGGGTCCCCATCGGGGAGAAAACCTCAACAACTTTCTCACAGTTCTCCAGGGCTTCTTCGCTTTTTATTGGAACCCACACAGATCCTGGCAGGCGGCAGCAACATAGAATTAGGAGAGCTATATCCCAGTGTGCTTCCTGCCCCGCTCAATGTCCCAGCACATCGCCATGCAACTGTCTCGCTGTCCCCAGTCATTCAGACATGTGGAGGTCAAGCCCTTCATGCAGTCTGAAGGAGCAGACCCCCAACCCCCCCGTGAGAGTGCCCCTCTCATTGTGCGATGGGGAGAGGACAGAAATCTCCCCATTCAAATCTGAATTGCAGCTCAGTTGGTGTGGGCTAGGTGTAATGACCCCCGCTGTACAGAAGAGGGGTGACGATATTAGAGGGTGACAATATTAGAGGGTGACGATATTAGAGGGTGACGATATTAGAGGGTGACGATATTAGGGGGTGAGGTTGACCAGGGCTAAACCTGGCAGGGAGGTTGGAGAGGGGCTCATGTCTTCAGGCCTCCAGCTGTGTGCACGCATCACCCCAAAGATGCAATCAATAATCCCCATTGCTTTCCAAGGCCACCATTTGTCCTGGACTTGGAAAAGTCCCCTCATGAATCCCTTGCTGTGGGTGTCGTCCCCTTAACTCCTAAGGTGGTCAGGACCCTCTCTGCTCCTGCCCTGTCGACCCCCTGGCTCAGAACCAGGAAGCTGATAAACTGTCTTTGAAAATTAAGGGCTTTCAGCTGATGCTGTGAGTTCCTCCAAGCTGAGGTTGCCCTGGCTGCCCAAGGCTGGGAGATGCTAGGGAGACCCCCGCTGTCTCTGGGAGAGGGGGCGTTCCCTGGTCCCAGAGCATCCCCGGGGCTTTCCGTCCACCCCGAGCTCCAGTTCTGCAGGCAGCAGAGGGTGACGGCTTTCGTCTACGCTTTCAGGTGTGGATTGATGCTGCCACTCAGATATTCTTTTCCTTGGGGGCTGGATTTGGAGTCTTGATTGCATTCGCCAGTTACAATAAGTTTGACAACAACTGTTACAGGTGAGTTCCTTCCCCGAGCTAGGAAAGGCCCAGACCTTTGTGGGGATGGAATTGGGGTCTGGGTCTGGTGCCGATGTTCTTGGACAAGCCAGATTTCCTTCCCGTGGACATCCTGGGCATTCTGTGAATGCTGATGGACCTCTGGTGTCCTGATGAATGTGTTTACCCCAGGATGCTTTTTAAACGGTCCTGAGGTACTCATCAGGGAAAGCTGGGGTCAGTAGGATCAGGAGATCCTGGATATGGGTCAGAGGAGCACCGTGTGACTTTCAGAGCAGACAGTGCTGCCTGGCTCTGTCTGTCAGATGACCAGGCCCCCAGGGGTGGAATAGCAGGGCTGATCAGGCCTGGCTGGGTCAGAGGTAAGACCGGAGGGGAGAGTGAGTCAGACCTGCTCCAGTCTGGGGTCAGTAAGTTCTCAGTGCTGCCCCCTGCAGGCCTGGTGCTATGAGGACTGCAGAGATGGGCACGGACCAGAGTCCATCTGTCACCCCATCTGAGGCTTAAGCAGAATGACAGTGTCTTGGGTACGAGAAAGAGTAGGATGACTATGTGCCATCAGGGCAAGCTTCAGGATGGGGAAGGAAGGGCGTGGTGGTCGGCCTTGGATAGACCATGGTGGCAGACCTGGGGTGGAAGGCTCGTGCGGTGAGGAGCAGCATGCACCGGGGCTGGGACCAGCCAAGAGACTGGCCTGGAAGTCATGGGAAATGACCCTGAAAGGAAGGTTGATGCCAAGGTGAGCCGTTGGGAGGCCCCGGGGAGCCACGGAGAGTTTGGAAGAAGAAGCCTCATGACCCGATTCCCCAACAAGAGTTGGATACCAGAGTCTGGCGTGGAACTAGTCCCTCCACAGCTAGTCACCTACTTCCTGCACCGGCAGCTACTGACCCAGCGAAGGTCACTAGGGGTCCATGTGGCACCAGGATACGGCCTTGGAGGCGAGGTCCAGGCTGCAGATTCCACAGATGGGCAGAGATGCGTGGTGGGCAGGGCTGGAGGGTGAGAGTCAGGGGGACTTGAACTAGCAGCACTTCTTCCCCCCAGGGACGCCCTGCTGACCAGCACCATCAACTGTGTCACCAGCTTCATCTCTGGGTTTGCCATCTTCTCCATCCTCGGTTACATGGCGCACGAACACAAGGTCAACATCGAGGACGTGGCCACTGAAGGTGGGTGAGCAGACCACTTGGGCTCCAGCCAAGGGAGGAGGGACCAAGAAAGCCACCTCATTCCTGGCTGCAGAGCCCTCCCCTGGCGGTAGGACTGCGAGGGCTGGCGTTTCCAAACCGTCCCCTTGATGGACTTTCCCCGAGGCTGTCAGTGGGAATTCCAGGCAACGCCGGGCCCTGGGTAGGCAACAGAACCTTCTTCTGAGTTGGAGTAGGGGGAACAGTTCTCGAAGTGCCCACTCTGGAAGCCCCTATGCTGATCATTTTACATATCTCTAAGTCCATTTTCTGTTGCTATAACAAAGTACCTGAGGCAGTGTGATTTATGCGTAAAAGAAATTCAATGAGTTCACAGATGTAGAGATTTAAGAGTGTGACAGTAACATCCACTGAGCTTCTGGTGAGGACCACATGCTATTCAACTCACCACAAAGTAGAAGGGGGAAATGACTGTGTAGAAGGGCTGGGCATGGAGCATTTTAAATAATCTGCTCTCCCGGTAACAATCCAGTCCTTAAAGAGCAATGTTCACTCCTACAAGAAAAATGTTGATCCTAACAACCTAGTAACCTCTTTAAGTCCCCAACGCCTCTGGATATTGCTATTCTGGGGACCGGACCTCAGCATGAGTTTTGGTGGGGACAACCTACGTTCAAACCATAGGAACTTAATTCTATTTAGTGCTCACAAGACTGAGAGGTAAGAGTCACTTTAATGATGACAAAAGTAAGACAACCAAAGCACGGGGACCAAGGTCACCCAGTTGGTGAACAATGATGCCAGCAATTCATCAGTCTGACTTTGGAGCCATGTCCTTCTCCACTGCTTCCTGTATTCTTTCCACCACAAAGAAGCTGAGACCTGGGTAAGGGCTCCCTCTAATTGACTTTGAGGACCACCAGCTTTTGAAAATAAGAGTGGATCCTTCATGGCGTGTAGGAGATGGGTTTGCCACATGTAGCTTATGGCTGTCTAGGCAAAGGCACTGCTCTTCGCCTGGGTGTTTGAGGTCAATTTCCTTGATGCGCTGGTTGTGTTAGCCAGCTATCCGTTCCTGTAATAAAAATACCCGAGGAAAATCAACGTATAAAGAAGAAAGGCTTATTTTGAATCAAATCTTGGAGGTTTTAGTCCATGGTTGGGGACCCTGTTGCTTGTGGTCCTACAAGCTTCACGTGTCATCCCCTGACCTTTGGTGGGCACTACCCACTACACATGACTGTCCTGGGGCTGAGCTTGAGCAGATGTTCCCCAGCTCCCTGTGGTCTGATCAGTAGTCCCTGCCATTGATAGGGACCTTGATGCCTGTTACAGGAGCTGGCCTGGTGTTCATCCTGTATCCAGAAGCCATTTCCACCCTGTCGGGATCGACGTTCTGGGCTATCTTGTTTTTCATCATGCTCCTGGCCCTGGGCCTTGACAGCTCCGTGAGTGACCCTGCTCAGGATCTGCCCCATCCCTGGGCCCGACCCGCCTCCCTGAGGGTCACCCGGCTCAGCCTGTGAAAGAGCATTCCTCATTGTGCAGACAGGGCTGAGTGCAGAGGGGCCATGGCGGCCTCTTTCCCATTTATTCCATTTCATCATCGACAACCAACAAAAAACATTTCTTAGATCCTTCTGTGAGGCTCCCTTGCAGGATTGCACTTCCTGACATCTTTTGGTATCTGTGACCACCCCTCGCACACGGTGCCTGAGGTGTGCAGGGCTGACAAACAGCTTCCTCCCGCTGCCTTTCCGTTAACGGACAGATCTGCCAGGAGCAGAATTCTGATTTTGATTGACAATGTCTGCCAAGAGGAGAGGACAGGAGCCTGGTGGCCTGTGTCTTCTTCAGCCAGTGGCTCATCCCTAAGGGGATGCATGTGCCCAGAGCAATAGGATTGGAGAGCCATTCGCACCTGGAGGCTGGAGTCCGAGGTGACCACTTGATAGATGAGAAAGGCAGCTGAACGTCCGTGTCCAAAACTGCTGCTTTGAAGTTGCCCACACTAGAAGCTCTTCTCTGGCGGATGTTTCTAGAAAGCCCTTTTTATGTGCAAATGTGTCCCCTGGGGAATGCACTGGACGCCCTTCGCTCTCTGCGGGCTCCTCCGTCTCCTTGGGGCTGAGGGAGCCATCAGGAGCTGGTGGGGGGCAGACAGGTCAACTTAACTCTCCACCCTCTATGTCTGAGTCTGACTGACGCAGGGCAGGACAGGGAGGAGGGGAGGCAGGAAGGTAGCACCAGGCACTGACTTCTGAGGCCCTGGCCTTGGAGGCCCAAGGCAGCTGGGGCCCAGACTGGGGCCCCCGCCTGCTGCACACCCACCTGTTCCCTCCAGATGGGAGGCATGGAGGCAGTCATCACGGGCCTGGCGGACGACTTCCAGGTGCTCAAGCGCCACCGGAAACTCTTCACGCTGGGCGTCACTGTGGGCACGTTCCTTCTGGCCCTGTTTTGCATAACCAAGGTGAGGAGGGACTCGGGGGCCACTGGGAGCTCCCGGGACTGCATGTCAGTCCCCAGCGGTAGAGCTGGCGCGTGCAGGGCTGGGCTGAGCCCGCGGAGCAATGGGGTATGAGAACAGGGCCAGCATCGGCCTCGGCCCTTCGGTCCCTCCTCTGGGTGACCCTCCACCTCTGAGCCCGTGGATCTCCAGGCACCCCTGCTGCTTATGGATCTGGGGACAGCAGAGCCCCTCTGAAGTCCGTCTCCCCCACCCCTAGAGCCCACAGCTCCCAGAGGCCTTGGTTAGAACGCAAATAGGTAGGTCCTATGTGTAGGGCCACAACCCTGTCACCTGCATTCCCTAACAGGGTTCTGAGCATGTGGGTCAGGGGACAGGTCAGACGTGGTAGATGCAGCAGTCAGTGGCCTCCTCTGGCCAGCGATGGCCCCAGGCCTCTCTCTGTGCCCCAGGGTGGAATCTACGTGCTCACTCTCCTGGACACGTTTGCGGCCGGCACCTCCATCCTGTTTGCGGTGCTGATGGAAGCCATCGGAGTGTCCTGGTTCTACGGTACGTGAACAGCTCTGGTCCCCAGGGCTCCTGGGGCCCTCCAGCTGGATGTGAAAGGACGTCCATTCCTAGGCAGCCTCCTGAAGCTCCAGAGTTGGGCAGGCCTCATGTGGGGAGCAAGTCTCCCTGACCCCAGCTCCTCTTCGGACAAACTCCCCTTAACAGGAAGCGACAGAGGCCCCCGAGGCACCAAGGTCCGGGTCTAAAGAGGAACCCTTGGGAGTCGCTGAGCCCACCCATGGAATTCATTCTCACCTAGGATTGTCAGATTGAGCAGGCAAAACACAGACTGCCCAGTTAATCTCGGATCTCAGATAAACAATGTTTTTTCCTTTTTTTTTTTATTTTTTAGTATAAGTATGTCCCAAACGCTGCATAGACATATTTATCCCATTCCTTTTCAAACTTAACTGGGGATCTTGTATTTTATCGGATAACCTTATTCTAGAACCCGAGAAAACATTTGATCAACTGTCAGATGCTAATTGCTGTTTTTCCCCCTCTGTGGGACACCCAAGTATCAGTCTTGTTCTGACTTTTCTTGGGAAGTGTTTGCAGCGTAGGAGCCTGACCTCTTCTATCCGATTGCAGCCAGGGACACACATCCACGTGTGTCCACGTATGTCTACGTGTGCATGCAAAAAGGATGTGCACATGGTTGCTATTTTCAGAAAAAGAATAAGAAGAAAGAGCTGGGCTTTGGAGTCAGGGCAATGTGGCTCTGTAGCCTGGGGCAAGTCCTCTGCCCTGCCCGAGCCCTGGCTTCCCTCTTACACACTAATTGGGGTGGCTTATTAAAGGTGACACTGTCCTTGAGTTTGTCCTTTCCGTTGCTCTGCATCAATGAAGTGCCCTCCCGGGTCTCCTAAGCCCCAGCGGCTCAGTCTCAGTCTCTTGGAGCCAGAACTTCCGGGGGTGGGGGACCCAAGGGATACCCTGGCTCTGGGGGTCCAGCCTGCCATAGGGAGGGACTGCCGTGACAGGCGTGCCCTCGTGTGCCCAGGTGTGGACAGGTTTAGCAACGACATCCAGCAGATGATGGGGTTCAAGCCCGGGCTGTACTGGAGACTGTGCTGGAAGTTTGTGAGCCCCGCCTTCCTCCTGGTGCGTACTGTGTGGCTAGAAGCCCAGGGTGGGCTGGGGTGGAGGCCTTTGCTTTCGGGAGGCACTGGGCCTTGGAGGCCAGCCACGCAGACAGGAGCCCTGGGTGCTCAGCCTGGGGACGTGGTGGGCGTCCACCTCAGCAGTTGCCCTCTGGGATTCTCTTCCTCCGCACTCTCTCCTTTCCCTGGGATCCACTCGCTCCTGCTTCATCTCTCCTGGCTCATCTCCCCCCATTCTCTCCTCCCTCGCCCCCCGTACCCGCCCCAGTTCGTGGTGGTGGTCAGCATCATCAACTTCAAGCCGCTCACCTACGACGACTACGTCTTCCCGCCCTGGGCCAACTGGGTGGGCTGGGGCATCGCCCTGTCCTCCATGGTCCTGGTCCCCGCCTACATCGTCTACAAGTTCCTCAGCCTGCGGGGCTCCCTCTGGGAGGTGAGCTCTGGGTTGGCCATGGGGGTGGGACGGGAAGGGACATTCCTGTTGGGGTGAGACAGAAGCGCAGGGCTGCGGGGGCCAGACAGATCTGCCTCCCTGGCCACGTTATCCATCTCCTTGAGCCTCCGTGTCCACCTCTGTCCCCGAGGACAATGTTGTGCACCTTTCAAGGAGAAAGGACGTCCTCAGCATAGGCCCCAGCATGGAGGAGCTGGGCCAGCTGTCACCATGTCACCATGGCTGTTCCTGCCTCTGAGTAAGCAAGGAGAGGCTGCGCCCTGGAGTCAGGAAGGATCCACCAGCCAGACTGCCCGAGCTGGGCCCACTTCTGGGTCCCCTTCTAAAGCTGACAGATGTCCCAAGCCCACTGGTCTGGTCATCTTGGTTGACGTACTTCTTTCCTGACCATGATGATCTGAGCAGCCTCAATCGAGGACTTCTAACGTGGTTTTCTTTTTTACACGCATGCACACGCACAAGTCCCTGTGGATGCCGGGGACATGGAGCCCGTGTTCTGAAATCATGTCCTTCCCGCTATTTGACTGTGAAAATCCGCCCCCCCTTTTTTAAATTAACGAATGGCAGTAGTCTTTCCTTCAAGTCCTTACTTTGTGAAACAAAGGTCCCGTTCCCTCCTTCCTTGACCTGCTCACTGGGTAGGTGTGTATGAAGAATCGAGTGTGTGCCAGGCACCGTTCCAGGAGCTATATTAAGAAAATCCCTGTCCTTATCACGCCGAAATCCCAAAGTCAGACGGCCGCCGTCCTGGCTCACGGGGAGGACCCTGTTCAGCCAGCTTCACCCCGGGATGTGGGAGCCAGGACGGGGGCCTTCCTTCCTCACCCGTGGGCAGCGGAGCGCCTCCCATCAGGAGGGTCAGCCGTGACTCACACCCCTCCTCAGTCCCTGCGCAGGGTCCACCTGGGGAGGCCCTCCCTGATCCCACGCCAGCCCAGGCGCCTCTCACTGTCCACTCGCTGCGGCCTGAGTTTGAAGTGACCCGTGTGTGTTGGCTCAGTGCCAGCCCCTAACGGGCAGTCAGGCCCCCAGGGCACCCTGTGGGTCTCCTCCAGCTCCCAGGCGCAGGCCTCCCCAGCGCCTGAGCCCCAGAGCAGGCCTGGCAACTGTCCCCGGGATGAAGGACCCGAGGGGACCGAGTGGGAGGGTGTCTCTATAGATCCAAGAGGGGCTTCAGGTCCAAGGGTGCCCCCTGGCCGCTGGGAAGCTGTCCCGGGCCAAACTGAGGCTCCTCCCTGCTCCGTCTCCACAGAGAGTGGCCTACGGCGTCACACCGGAGAATGAGCACCACCTGGTGGCGGAGAGGGACGTCAGGCAGTTCCAGGTCGGTGCAGCCCGGAGCACAGGGCTGGGGTGGGGTGGGCCCCAGCTGTTCCCCGCGGTGGCAGGCCCCGGGAGCCAGAAAACTCAGTGACAGTGGCCGCAGCCCCCAGGACCGTGGTGATGGGTGGAGGAGGAGAAGGGCCTGCCCTCTGCCTTCACCAGCGTCCTCCTGCCCTCTGGTCCTCGGACCCCGATACCCAAGGCCACATTTGCCTACAACTGTATATTTCCTTCCATGAGTGGTCACCATGGGGTGCCCCCAAACCAGGTGAGAATGTCTTATCTTGAAGAAAGAGCTGCGGGGACATCAGGGACACATTCCTGGCCTAAGCCCTATTCTATCCCTTAAAAAAAAAAATAGCCCAGGACTTGGATATCGGGGAGTCCTGCGAGTAGCCAGGGCCTGTGTCACACCTCCATATCTGGGAAGGTGCCTTTGTGCCTTCCAGGCCTCAGTGATAAGTGTGGCCTCCACCTGCCTGTCCCCTGAGGGCACTGAAGGGACCGGCTGTTTTTCCTGTCTCCCCTTTGCTGGCTGTGCCCTGCCCCGCTGACCCTGGGTGCTCCTGGTCCCCGCCCCGGGCCCTGTCTCAAAGGCCTGCTGTCTCCCTGTGCAGCTGAAGCACTGGTTGGCCATCTGAACCCGACCCCAAGGAGGAGAAGCCCACCGTCCAGGCCAGAGGCAGCTGCTTCCCTCCTGCCCCGGACGCCGTCCTGTCGTTCCTCTCCTGGAAGATGCCCCTTCTGACCCCCCTATTCTACTTCTCCCAGTTACAAAGAATTGAGTGGCTCTGACTTTTGTTCTGCCTCTGTTCCTCCGGCCTGGGGGCTGTGAGCGGGGAGGACGGGTAGGCCCCAGGGCAGAGGAGGAAAGGAGGAGAAAGGATCTTGACTTCCTTCCGGGAACCCCCTTTATTTGAGGGGGAGACTCCCCTCTTTGGAAGCCCCCTGAGTGTGAGCTCCGTGGCTCAGGCAGAATCTCCCGCCACATCCCCTGGTACTTTGAAGAAATCCTCGGTGTGCCAAAACCGCAAGAGGATGGTCTTTTGTTCAGATTAAAAACAAAACAAACCAACACAACAACCAACCAGCGCCCAGCGGAGCTTGGTGAGGGGAGGCGGGTCCACGGGTCCTCTTTCTCTCGCCCACCCCAGGTAGCGTGCTGCACCTCGGTCTGGGAGTTTGGATGAAGTCAGCAGATAGATACTTTGGAGGATCTTGAAACGTTCCTAGTTCCCCCTCTGGCTGCTCTGAGTTTGATGTGTCTGTGTGTTCCAGAACATTCCACTGGCTTCTGGTGTTCAGACAGTCCAGGGGACATGGATGTCAGGGAGGCAGCTATTGGACGAGCCACAGAGAGCAGGTTCCACAGAGGTGTCTGCACTAGGCAAACGCCCAGAGACCCCAAAGCCCTGTGCTGGCCCCCTGTGTCAGAGGCCTGGCGCCCACAAACCCATCTGTGGTTCTTGGGACCTTCCTACGTAAACGGGGCAGGGAGAGACCCAGCGAAGCCACGTGTGTGCCTCCTTCACAGGACTCTCTGCTGTCCCCATGGGGCCAGGTGGCTGCCCAGGGACAGCCTGAAAGGCCGTGGTGATCACTGTCCACCAACACCTGCAAGGCCCTTCCCAGCCGGGGCTCTTGAGCCACGGGGACTGGCCCTGAATCTCCCTTTTGGGTCTCTTCATAAACTAACTTGGCACCTGGGGGATGGGGGGAGGTGGGACCAAGCACCTGGCCCCCCAGCCCAGAGCTCGTGGGTGGCTTGGGGATTCACTCACAAGCCAGCGGGGCCCCCTGGTGGAGGCTGGCTTCAGTGCCGTGGGGACCGACGGGTGGCTGTGGGTTTCCGTCTGTGGCCTGAGTGTCTTGTGCCCTGGCTGGACACACGGATGGCGCCCTGCTGTTCTGACGAGGGGAGCCCCTCTGCAGAATTTTGGGCAAAATAAAAGAGGCCACTGCATCACACGGGGGAACAGAGGGGACACATGGAGAAGGGGTGGGGCCTGAGACGGGGGTGACTCTGTACCTGCCGGGTTTGTCCCTGCTGAATCAGGGAGACCAGGAGACTTTGGGTCTTTCCATTCACGAAGGCCAGCTCCAGCCCAAGTGTCCTGGGCCCTGGGAAAGGTGTGGCCTGTCCTGTCCCACACCCAGCAGGTGTGGCTGCTCCTCCCATGGTGACAGTGCCTCTTAGGTGTTGGCATATATTTATTTTTCAATAAAGCACTTTCACCCACGGCGCCTCCCGGCTGCCCCAGGAGGACGGCAGGGTGGGCTCCTGTTGCCTGGTGTCCCCCGTGAGCCAACCAGGCCTTTCCATGGCTCCCGTTCAAGGTCTCAGCTCCTAAGGGGTCGAGTCGGCCCTCAGTCTGGGGTGCTGGGCATCCATCAGCCTGTGCCATGGGGTTCCCTGACCCAGACTGACGTGACCCGAGCAGCTCACTAAGTTCTGTCCCAGGGCAAAGGGATAGGAGGGGAGAGGCCGTCACGCTCTCTCCCCTGGCCACCTGCCACAGGAAGTCGCTCAGCTGCTCCTTTTGGAGGAAGTAGTCGCCCCTGGAAGAGAGGCCCCCCACCCCGGAGGCCCATCGCTGGGGCTGACAGCGATGGGCACACACCCAGAAAGGGATCCGACCTCCTCGCCGTGGGCACAGGACCCTCTGGGAGACCCTCGGGGTCCACCTCGCCACCCGCGCCATCGGGGGGGGGGTGTAGGATGGAGTGCTGGTCATGAGTATGGCTCGACTTCTTTTTGGTGACCTTTCTTTGATAGCAGAGGTCACCCAGGACCAGGGTGCTCCTGTGTACTCTATATGACACTTGGCACTTGGGATATTTTACCAGATGTTTAAAGAATGATTATTTTCCATGAAATATGAGACACCGTTTCAACCGTCCTGTCCCATCTACCTGGTGTCTGTGATTGAGCATCTACCTGCGAGTCTTCATCCTAGACACAAAGGAGGCCGAGGAGAAGGGAAGCTTCCACCTCCTCCCAAATATCCCGCTGAACAAAGTCCCCAAGCTGCCTTCATTCTCAGAGGGATTTTCTTTTCCCAAGTGGGAGCCAAGATCCTGCCGTATGATTTGTCTTCCAGTCTGATAATGTAAGACGGGAGCATTCTCACCAAAGAAGTCATTTCCTACCTATAGGAATTTCCCAGAAGAATCCCACTGGATCCACTCTATATGTTTGTTTATTTCTTTTGAAAGCTACAGAATGGAAAAGAACAGAGAGGGTGTTATGGCGTTGTGAAAATAGCACAGCATTTAGAGTCGCACAGACCTGGGTCTGTGGCTAACTAGCTGGGTGGACCGGGGTGAGTGGCTTCACATCTTTGGGTGGTAAGGCCCTTGTGTGTAAAATCAGGGATTATATCAGATAATCAAAGGTCTCATTCACTTAAAAAAAAAAGCCTCTGCATGTCTCCATGACAATATTCTTGTGCTAAATTTATGGTGAAGACAGCATGTCCCTAACTACAGGGCTTCCCAAAGCGATCCCGTCACCAAAGACCTACTGAGCTTAGAAATATCAAATTTCCAAAACACTTGCTGTTTGAATAAAAGAAAAGTCTGACCCTTTGTCTTGAGGCCTGTTTTGTGGAATTGGAGGCTGGCTGTGGAGTCCCATGGTATTGGAGGCCAGTCGAGGAGTCCCACTCTGTCCCCGGGCGTCCCAGGACTGTAGCCCTGCTGATGGGCCACTCGGGCTTGCTGGTGACTGTGAAGTCGTTCCGGGGGTGCCTGCTGTCGTCCCTCTGTCCCTGTTTCTGTATGAACCAGGAATGTTTCAATAGTGTCCTCTCTGAATCACGGGCCGTTTGGTGTCATGCAACTCTCTGTGTCTGGCTGAGTTTATTTTAAAAGTTGTTCTCTTCATAGAAATATAAGTGTTCAGAATAATAAAGGATATTTCCTGTGCCACGTATCTGCTGGTGGAGTTCAAATGCTTTCTGTCATGAGGTAAAATGCTGCCAATTATGTAAGGCGAGTGGGTTGGTCTGTGACCAGCCTCCAGCTAGTAAAGAAGAGCTTTTGGTCTCAGTGGCCCACTTTTCACCCCGATGATTATTTTCATAACCCCTGGTACAGGAGACTGGAAGGGGTTGAGTCTGTGACCTTAGCTCTGAGATTCATGTCCATTTTACATTTTTTAGGGCTAGGAATCAAACCCAGGGCCTCACACACACTGACCCAGAGCCCAGCATATATTTTTACTTAAATAAGAAGCGGCTGCCAAACAGCGGGTGTAGCTCTCCAGTTCTGGGTTTGGTTCTAGGACCGACTTTCAAGGGGATCAGAACCTCCCGTTGGGTTGAATTAAGGCACAATCTTGTGTGTGTGAGTGACGTCTCCTGGGACGAGGGCCACAGTCACACGTAGGTCCTCAGAGCTGAGTACTGTCACTGCATGGGGACGACCTGAACTCACAGAGACTTGTTTTCAAAGATGACGATGACAATGACGGAGGCCGTCAGAGCGGGCGGCTGGGCCCAGGGCTGAACGGAGGCCAACGGTAGGAAGCCCCAGAAGACAGCCCAGAGCCCCTCAGGCCGGAGCGCAGGAAGGACCTGTGCTGGAAGCCGTGAGCGCCCAGCCCTGGGGACACACAGGCAGAGAGCGGGCAGTGTCTCCTGGGACCTGGTAGAGCGGACACTGTCAGGGAAGGGTGGGGCAGCAGGTTGCACACCTCTAAGCCCCTCTGTGGGAAGCTTCTGGGCTCTTCTCCGACAGCCCTAAGCACAGGCCTGGGCAGCGGTGCCGGGAGAGGCAAGGTCACTTGTGCCCAGGGGCCCGGCCAGGAGCGGCTGGCCCCCAGACACGCCGTGACCTTTCCAGCCACCTGTTCCCATGCGACTTGCATATGGAGCAAATGGTCCCTGTGGGCTCTCATGGGGCGATGGGGGTTCTGGAAGCTTCCACTGCGCCCCCTGGTCTGACAGGGGTGGGGGGAGCCAGAGGAGCACGGGGAGTCCTGAGCCTCACTTTTGGCCCCTGTGGGGTTCTGAATTCCCTGAAATTTAATCCCAAGCGGTGCTCTTTGAGGACATTGTGCACGTTCATGGTTACTGTCCCCAGAGGTGCCCGTTCGCCCAGTGGATCCTGAGTTGCCCAAGCCAGACGCTCAGGGTGGGCTTCCAAGTGCAGCCCCTCCTGAAATCTGGTGTTGGAGGAGTTCACGTCCGGTTTCCTAAGGAAAGGACCCTGAGGTCCTCAGATCCTCAGGTATTTCAGAGCCACAGGTGGATACGGTCAGCCCCCCTCTGTGGTCCAGCGCCTGCAGGGTCCACCATCGTGGATGGAAGTGCTGGAGAAAGCTCGGGACTGTCCGGAACTCCGGCAGCCTCCGCCCTGGTCCTCAACCCCTGAGCCTCTCCCTACAGGGAGGTCCGTGGCTTCGCATCCTGGGGGGTGTTAAAAGCAATCTTGAGATGATTTAAAGCGGGCAGCGGCCGGGGTGGGAGAAGGTTCTGTGCGAATCATTTTGGGCTTGAGCGTTTGCTGATCTTGGTATTCCTGAGGGCCCTGGAACCGATCCCTTAGGGACACAAGGGACAACCATGTTGCCTCTGGCCTCTCTCTTCTGATGGTCCTGGGCATCTGTGTGCGCCACCCCTTACCAAAGGCGATGTCCACTGCCCTTTCTCTGCCCCTATCACCGCCCACCCCACCAGTGCCTCCTGTGTTCCCACTGGACAGACCTGACGCCTGGGGCTGGGGTGAAGAGGGACCTCTCTGAAGTCGCCCCGCTGCTGACAGGCAAAGCCAGGCCCCTCGCACCTGGTCAG